CCTATTGGAATCAAGGCACTCTTCCCTACATTCACTTTCAATCCTGACACCGCCTGAAAACAAATCAGCACCGATCTCAGATACCTCATCTGGGAGACCTCAGCCTCACAAAACACCAACGTGTCATCCGCAAACAATAAGTGAGATATCTCCATATGATGAACATCACCCCCACCCACCATGAAACCCTTAATAAAACCCAACTCCACCACCCTCCCATCAACCTACTAAGAGCCTCCATAATAATAATGAACAAGAGAGGAGACAAAGGATCCCCCTGGCGCAAGCCTCGCGAGCTACCAAAGAACCCGGTCGGAGACCCATTAACCATCACCGAAAATTTGGCTGAAGATATGCAGGCCTGGCCTCAATCCAACACCTCCATTTATCCCCAAAACCCATTCTATCCATCAAATACAACAAGAACTTCCAACTCACATGATCATAAGCTTTCTCAACGTCGAGCTTACATAGAACCCCTGGGACACCACTCCTCAACCTCGTGTCCACATATTCACTAGCAATAAGAGTTGAATCAAGAATCTGACGCCCACCAATAAAACCGTTCTGAGATTCCAAAATGATATCATCCAGAACAACCCTCAACCTTAATGCTAGAATTTTAGCTATTAATTTATAAATGCAACCCAGCAAACTAATAGGTCTAAAGTCCTTTACATTCGAAGCTCCCCCCTTCTTTGGAATAAGTGCAATAAACGATGCATTCAAAGAGTTCTCAAACCTCCCCTGAATATGGAAGGCATGAAACATAGCCATCACCTCTCCCTTAACCACCTCCCAACTCTCCAATAGAAAGCACGTAGTAAAACCATCCGGCCCCGGAGCTTTGTCCCCGTTACAACTCCTTAGCGCCTTCAGCACTTCCTCTTCAGGAAACGGAATCTCCAAACCATCTTTATTAATTTCACAAATAGCGTCAAAGTGCAGACCATCAAGCCGAGGTCTCTATAAATAAGGCTCCGTAAACAAACCCTGATAAAAAGAGACAAAATCCCCCTGCATACATCCTCCTCCCTAACTAGAACCTTCCCATCAATAGTAATCCTCCCAATGTGATTGCCTCTCCTATGAGCATTAGCAAGCCGATGAAAAAACTAGGTATTCTTATCATCTTCTTTAAGCCATATGGCTCTAGATTTCTGCCTCCAAGAGATTTCTTCCGCCACTGCAATCTCAGCAAACTCCTTTTGGCACGCATCCCTCCTCCTTTTTTGGCTGTCATCAATACCACCCACACCTTCCCGCCTATCAATCTCAGCAATCTCCGCAAAAGCCCTATTCTTCCTCCACTCCAAATTACCAAACACCTCCTTATTCCACCTTTTAATCTCATGTTTCAACCCCTTAAGCTTTTTTGCAAGAATAAAGCTCGGATTACCATCCACCTTGATAAATCATTGTAATTTTCCTTAACTAGAGGGGCGATTAATGTAATATTACTAGCAGCAGCAACTTATATGTCAAAGCTATGAAGCAAGGCAAAAATATGAGTGTTGCGCAAACAATGACCCATGAGGGGGATGAATTGGGTCTTTTAGTAAGCTTAGTAGATTTTTTATTTAGCTCAAGTTCTTGGTGTGTGAACAGAATATAACAGTTATAATGCCTAATAGAAAATGCAAAACTCAAAAGATAGGGAGATGCAAACTCAAGAACACCAAGATTTACGTAGTTCAGCTACCCAGCCTACATCCACGCCCTATGTTACCCAGACTCGAGTAAGAGTGTCGGACGTGGGCATGCGTCTAAAGGTCGGATCCATCAAAATTCAAATTATAGGATATGGGGACTCGGCTAAAAAGTGTCCAAAATTTGGACACGGACACCTGGACACGTCTTAATTATTAAACAATAATAAAGTACAAACTATTTATCTTATTTAATCAAGTATAGACATTATGTCCTACTCTCTCTCTACAAAAAAAAAAAAAAAAAAAAAAAAAAAAGAAAAAAAAAACAGAGATATGCTTATCATTTGTCTTTTAGTTGGTAAGGTAGATGGTTTTTTTACAAGAAAAGTAATTGTAAATGTAAAAGTTAAAAAAAATAAAAATAAAAAATAAAAATAAAAATAAAAATAAAAAGTAAAGGTAACTGCACAAGGCTCTATATATATTGTTTTTTTAATACTACTAAGAAAAGTAAGCAAGTTACAAAGCAAATGTGAAAGTAAGAAAAGTCAAAAAGTAACTGCACTGGGTCGGTGGGTCCAATAAAAAAGTAACTGCACTGGCCCAATGTGATAAGGAACACAGAAACAAAGAAAACGTGGCGGTAAATATGACCACTCATCTGCCACACGTCAGACCATTAAATAGAGAGATGAGTGGCGTGAATGCACTCTCGCATAAAATAAAAAATCGTGTTAAGCCACGCATTGAAAACAACCATCTTCAACCTTAAAAAAACCCTAATTTCTAACCAGCTGACGCGAGCATGTCTTCATCAGTCATTGATCAGCTATATCCGATGGAAGCAAGCGATGTCTGACCTATATTTCGTGTCGTGTCGACATGGACAACTTGACCTAAATTGACGAGTCCAGGTAACGTAGTCCACACCTTGAATTGACCTAAGCTTGTTGTATTAACCCTTTTGCTTCGGGGATTGGCCTTTTAGGTCTTTATCGTAGGCATCGAGGAGTTCTGGAGGACAGCCTTCTTTTAATATAATATATCTACTAAAAGTAGAAGAATGAACTCAAAAAGACCGGATTAGACACCTCAGATACCAAGTCAATGACAAAATGACCATAAAAGGCAGAATTAACAGCGGAGCTGATAGGCCAGCCCAGTAAAAAGCCTATCTTCCGCGTGTTGAGACTCTTACTCTATAAAAAGAGCTGTGGGACGCTCAGCTTCCCTTACAAAAGCAGGCATTGCGAGCAGATCATATCGCCTTATGTTATCCCAAATTCACTGTCTCGCTCTCCTTCACATATGGAGAGAGAACACTCATAGTCTTCATTCACAGGTGGAAGATAACCTTTACAAGCTCCACGAGTTGTCCACGCTAAGTGAGCACCTCTCACTTAGACTTCAAGAAGGTTACACCTACCTTCCATACAATATCTCTAAAAGATATATATGAAGTTTCGGTACAACAATGGTGTCCCTTTCTTTGGACTGATCTTACAATGAAAGCTCCCTATAATAATCTCTTGAAAGATAGATATACAATGGAATCTATTTTTTCTAGAGATAGATGAAGCAAGTGATGAAAGCTCAGCTTCTAGAGAATAGAATCAAAGATCTCTTTGATTTCCACTAAAGTATAGGAGATCTAAGATTGCAAAAGGTTCTTCCCAAATCTAAAATGGCTTTTTGAAAAGATTTCAAATATGGTGCTCAAAAAGCTTTTGGAAGTTTTGTTCAAAAGTTATCCAAAAAGGTAAGGGGGCCTCCTATTTATAGTCTCAACTGAAAATGTAACCATTAGAGTACTTGCGAGACTGTTTGGAAACAGGTTTGTAAAAAGCAAGACATGAGTAGACGTCTTGTGCTTTTAACTAGACATCTTTCTCTCTCGTATCTATATCAGCGCAAACCTGCTCCATTCCCTTGTAGACGTCTTGACTCTACATGACGACGTCTAGTTGCAGATTCACTTTTTGGTGTAGACGTCTTACCATACAAGGTAGATGTTTTGTCCTTTAGGCACCAAGAATTCTGCACTTGCAGTCTACTTGCAAGACATCAAAATATAGACGTCTTGTCTTTCCATGCAGACGTCTTGTTGGCATTTCCTGTGATTTCAGAACTTGCAGTTCTTTGCCAACTCTACAATGGGTAGATGTCATGTGAAACAAGTAGACGTTTAGTGGCCAATACTTGATACTTTGGCACTTACAGTGCCTTGGCCATGTCACAAAATGTAGACATCTTATGAAAAACATGTAGCCATCTTGTCACATCGAAATTTTGAATATGAAATTTTTTTGGCACTTCAGTGTTAAGTGACCCAATGATCTTTTGACCTTCTTCACGAAAAACCTTAAGTTTTTGGGCTGTGTCATTTTTCCTAGAGACCTTACAAATATTTGATTTAACTTTAAAACTCAGGTACCTTTTTTTTTTTTTGATAAGTTTAAAACTCGGTCCTTAATTCATCCTTAAATCCTATGGACTGAGGTTTCGAATCAACATGCAATCAAAAATTACTTTACAAGGTTTCTAGCTTTCACCAACCCCATAGCCCCCTGGTCTTGAACTTCATCTTCAACTTTAACTTCCATCGCCATGAAATATCCTGAAATTCACCACTCGAGTAGACTACCAAATTCTCACATTAATAGGTCGTTATCATCAAACTTACCAAGATGCCCTTGGTTTCAAACCTTAAGGTTAACAATGAGCTACAGATATGACAATACAATACATTATGATAGAGACTCGGCAAGGACAAGAAAACATATATGTATAGAAGTAATATATATGTAAAAATTTATAATAAATCCATGTTATAGGTATTGTTACTAATTTTTCCTTATACAAGAATTATGACAGACAAAGAAAGAGTTATATTGCATAAATATAAATTTGGGCTAAATTGGTCAAGATATACTCTCATCTGTGTTACCTGGACTCTCCTATTCCCCCCTTAACGTAATCATTATGGTAAAAAAGAGAATAATTGTAACTTTTCCTTGCAATTATACTATCATATTATACTTGAAAAATGTACGTTTAATGCCCAAATTTGTTAAACATGTTGAAGTTTCTGAGATGTATCGACGATAGTAATATCTTAGCGTACCGGATATGTGTTTAAAATATTTATAAAATAAAAAAGAAAAAAAGAAAAGAAAAAGAAAAGTCTCAAATTTATGGAGAACGTATCTGCAAGTAGCAGAGGAATGTCGCAGACACAATACCTTATTGAAGTAACCATACTTTATAGTTTTTAAGCCATAACCTTTTTTAGAGTAATACTAGTAGTAGTTGGAGGTGGTGGAGGAGGAGGAGTAGATAGAACTGAACCTTGGGCAATATTTGTGCAGCTTGCGGAGAAGATTGCAAGAATGACAGCAAAGGCTTCAACTCTTTTGAAAGTTCTTTCAAATAACCATCAGCTGCTTTGCGAGCTGCTTTACAAGCTTGAACATCCCCAGTCCTAGACAGTTCACGTAAAGATGCTTCTAGCTTATCATGGATTGTTAAACATCGGTTGATGATATTTTGAACCTGCTGAATAGTTGCTTGTACCTGAAATTGCGGATTACCGAAAACCAAGTTTATCTAAAGATATCATCTAATTGTAATAATTAGATTAAAAACAATGTCCACCATCTACCTCATCCCACTGCAGCCTTGCCACATAAGAAGCAGAAGACTTCGATATTGTCATGTCAGCATGCATATATATGATGCATGCAACAAAAAGAAAGAAAAATCCAGATATCAACATGAATGGTTCCATAAGCAATGAAATGTTGCTGAACTTATAATAGACCTGAAAAAAAAAATACGAATAATCAAATATTGCATTTTGATTCAAAAAAATATATATAAAAAAGAACAAGAAAAGAAGTCAAAAAGAAAAATACGTGATTGAGTGGCACTTGCAGAAAACAACGCAAGCAACAGCATAATAGGATAGTTTTGATCCATACCAACACATTTGTCAACACCAGAATGTTCAAACTCAGCTTAGGCATTTAATGAGCCACAACACATATAATAAAGAGCTTAAATGAAGAGAACTAGTTCTGACTTGACTGAGGGTAAATCACCTGCTCCTATGATCTAAACAATTTATCAACACGTGAAACAAGTACTCAGCATGATGAAACTCCAAATGTAAGGCCTTCCTGTCAGAGCGTCATCTGCCACTAGAAAGCAACCTTAGAAATTAAAGCCCTCTCCTTCCGAGTGATGCAAAATAAGTTCACACTTGATCAATTAGATGAATAGTTAAAGCCTAACAAGTTATACATCTCTCTCTAGGGCAACACTAGGGGTCGTTAGTAACTAGGGTTTCTTCATGGTGTTGCATGTAACCTGCATGATGGAGGAGGATGGTCCTGTGGTGTAATGGATGCAAGGTATAATGGCCATTACATAATGGTATCGGAAACCGCAATCATGATCATGGCTTAATCAAGCTGATACGAAATTTATAAATCCAAAATCTCATAAATATGAGTTTTTAATTGCTTTGTGGATTTTCATGAATATTTAAATATGATTGAATGCGAGTAATGGCCTATAGACTGTATTTTAAGTTGGTGGTAAGGACAACCTAATTTGTAATTTTCACTTAACCTATGACTCCAGAATTATTATGGTTATGGAATAAAACTATATATGAATAAAAATTATTTGATTTTTATTTAATTTTCTAATGTTTCCTCTGAATTTTTGTAATTTTGTTACTTTTCAACAATATTTACAAAATTAATTTGTGCACAAGAATTTATGTGATATATGTAGATAGAAAGCGCAAGTTATGGAACATATATTATATTAGCGTATAATTTATTGATACAATTCATTTTTGAAATTGCTACAATATGATATTTTTGTTAAATAAAAAATCAGCAAAATAATAAAATTCCAGGAATTTACAAAGGAATCTGAAATTTTCAAAAATTAAAATCTACAACTTTTATGCAATATAAAAAAAGAAAGAAGGTCTTATTTACAAGATTTTAAGAGAATATGAGTGGAATTCGCTTGCCACTTTGAAGTGAATTTAAAAATAATTGAAAAAAATCGATAGACTGGGAGATCCGGTGCAAGATCTACAACGATAGTTTAAGGTCTAGCATCAAACAACATGAAAAATGTTAGATCTGGGTAAAAGAAAATATATATATTTATATTCATAAAACATACCAATTCTTTAAAAGCTTGGAGTGTTTCGATCCAAATCTGGAGTTTTTAAACTCATGCAACTCTTTAGGCTTTAGGGTCAGTTTGGAGCTGAGAGAGGACGTTTAAAGGGAATGTGAAAAGTGGAAAAATGGTTGCTTGGCCCTAAAACAGCAGACTGGGCCATCACAACAATTACTAAGCATATCAGCCGAGGCGGCAAGATTCTGTCCAAGTCCTTGCTGAGTCACCTGTAAATTTTATTCCCACCAATATAAAGGGCCATGACGGGAACGACTGAAGCTAAGAATGTTACAACTCAACCAAGTCACTCTGTATAAACCGAGTTTTAAACCATGGTACGTTAGCAAGCCTAAATTATTTGACTAAGTTCTGCTGGAGTCACAGTAACAAGCCTAACCATCACACCTAAAGAAGGTCCCATACCCTCGTAATTTGTAAATCACTCGCAAGAAGGTTCCATCAAACAATTGCTCATTCAATCATTTGATATAAAAACAATTACGGCCCCTTCCTTTACAGTAGTTGCTACTCATAATCAAATGACTCTTAGCCTTGCATAATAATGAAATTCTACTCGTAACCATAAGACTTGCATCATAATGGACGTAGTCCACGAGAATCATAACTCTTTAACTTCTAAATTCATGAGTCATGACACTTGAGGCTTTTAATTATGACTAAAATAACGTACTTATCAAAAAAAAAAAAAAGAAGATTATGACTAAAATAACGTAAATAAAAGAAGATAAAGACTCTAGCTTTAAATGCCCAGAAAGCTTATTTAAATGGTGCATCTTGACCAAAACCCCAATTATGCATCATGCAGCACATGTCAAATCAAGAATAGGGTCTTAAAACCCTACTTTCCACGCCTTCTAAACACTTTTAAAGGTTGCTGTCACTGATCTCGTTTTAAAAGGCATTAAGCCAGATCTTTAGGATCTCAATGGTCTTTACAGGATTGATTTTTTTCCTCGTTCTTTCCTTTTTTTTTTTTTTTGGGGTATCGGTATCGACGATTGTAACACACTACAAAACTAGTAGAAAAATAAAGCAAAACTAACTTTCTGAATAATAAAAAGCAATAAAAAGAATAAAGAGTAAGTCTAAAACATAAAAATAAAATAAAATAAAACACATTTAGAAATACTACTTCAAACATGTGTGACACACATCTAGAGACAAAGTTTATCCAAGTATGCTCTATTTCATAGGATCGTTCGGATTTTAAGATCCTATACAAGCCTATGATCCTACTTTCGATCCTACCAATCCTATGATGATCCTGCCTTCGAGAAAATTTAATGCAATTCTGATTCATTCAGTAATTTTTTTTTTTTTTTGATAAGTCTGATCCATTCAGTAATTTGGGATTGTATAATCATAACAATCCTATGATCTAGATTGCGTTTTTAACAACCATGGCGTTAAGTGGAAAGGGTGTTTCTAGCTTCCCTTCCAAAGGAATTTGATGGCCCAAAGTGCCATGTAATGTGTCTTTAATTGCCAATACAATAACTTTTGAAATGATCTTGACCATTGACATTTGACAGTTGACTTTTTTCTTTTCGTTTCTTTTTTTTTTTCTTTTTTTGGAGGCTGTCTCAGTTTAGGGTTAGGAAGGTGCTAAGAGTTGCATGTTTTCTCTCTTGTATGTTTGGAAGAACTGTAATTTTGTAGAGATTTTGATGTCAGGGTTATGTTAGTTTTAAACTTTTTGTATTCTCCTGAATACTTCACACGTGCATTGTAAACTCAGAAAAGAAAAGGGATATGCATATATATATATCAAAGGTAAAATCGAAAGCAGGTCTTCTGATTTTCAGCATCATCCTTAATAAGTGCTAAGGTGCTCTCCCTAATATAGAGCATGCAAACAAGAAAGGGCAGAAATTGAAAATTATATATAGGGCCCACTTTGGACCAGGGCCGGCCCTGGCCCAAGCGACTAAGGCGGTCGCCTTGGGCCTCAAATTTTAGAGGGCCTCAAAATTGAGGATGGAAAAAAAATAAATTAAAGTTAGGACAAGTCTTGGTCACCTTGGGCCTCAAATGAGGCCCATAGGGGATGGAAAAACAAAAAAACCAGGAGTATTAAGTTGGGGCAAGTTTCAGACGACACAATCTGCTTCGACACTCTGCAGGACGCAGCCTCCGCTGTCGCCTCAGGTGACAAGGTATGTTCATCCTCTTTCTCTCTTCTCTCTCCTTTTGCATGAATCGATCTTTTATATATGTTTCTTTCTTTTGTTCATCTCATCATTTGATTTGTTCTAACTTTGGACCTTTGGTTCGTTTGATTCGGGCCTTTACCTTTGTTCCAATAGTGAAAAGTAGCTTCCAAACTAGGGTTTTTTTTGTGTCACTGTGTGTGATGGCTATCAAAAGATGAATGAATATATTATGGTTCTCTTAGTATTTTAATAAATTTGTGCCTTTCTACATGTGTCTTTCATGGCGATCCAGTCCATAATCTATGGCAGGCACTTTTTTTTTTTTTTTTTTTCCTCTCCCTAATTCCACTCCAATCTCACAACAGCAGCAATCATACCCCTTTTCCTCATAAGTTTTTGCATTTTCACATTCAATCCTACGAAAATTAAGGATCCCTTCTGGGTTGAGCCGTTGAGGTAATAATTAACTTTTTTGATCTCTAAATTATGCTCATACTTAAAAGTGCCAAATTAAGGGTTTTTTTATATTTTATTTTTATATGAAGATACATACCACCATTATTGATGTTATTTGAAGTTGGCTCAGCTAGAATTTCAGTTAATAATACTGTCAAAGCACTTGCCATCGGAATGTACAAACACATGGAAATCAAGAGCAGGCTTTAACAAAACAAAAGTTAATGGTTTTTTCTATTAATTTGCACAGGTCTTCTGTAGCAATGATCAATCAATCACTACTACTAAAGTTGATTCCTCATCCTGAAATCAAGAAAGGGGTAATTGGCTCCCAAAAAAAACACACACAAAGTATAGTTAATATAAAGAGTGAAAGACAAAACTATACATGATAGTGGATGCCACATATAACCTAAAAGTCCCACTACTTCTTCAGCACTATAAGTTCAGCCTACTATATATATATAGTCACCTCATCTCCACATATTTTTGTCATCTGTAATCATCAAATTTTAGCAGCTATATAAACAATGAATGTAAAAAAGAAGCTGCAGTATTCTGTTCCTCATTTCCACTTTTGGACTGTGTTTTGGATACTCTGTTTTGTCTTCTCTCCTCTCCTTCAGATTCCAGTGAAAACTCCAGCCAGGAGATCATTCGACCAAACTGCTTGATTTTAGATTTTTTTTTAATTACATTTATTGTATGATCGGCAATGCTTAGTTATTATTGTTTCTGTTTGATTCTCCATCCATTTTATGTTAATTGTGATCTTCTTTCACATGCTAGCAGGACACTCTTCCTAGGATCTCGTGAGGTTATTTGCCTTGAACTTGAATCAAATCATTGCATATTGAGGTAATATATATTTTTTTAAACAAAGCAAATTATTATTATTATTTTTTGACGTCTAGTTTTATGTTGATTATGGTTCCTGTTATGTAGATTTCAAGAGATTTCATTATGTCTACAAGAAAATTTGAAT